CCTGGGCTGGATTCGAACCCGCCACCTTAGGTGTCTGTGGCTGGCGCCTTAGCCACTTGAGCCACAGGTGCCGAGCCAGCTTCTACTTTTCTCGAGTCCTTTAACTCACACGCAAGAAACTTGGCTCAGCACCTGTAGCTCCGTGGTTAGGGAGCCGGCCACATACACCACAGCAGGCAGGTAGGTTCGAAGCTGGTCCAGGCCTGCTAAAACAACAACTGCACCACCACCAACAAAAAATAGCTAGGCATTGTGGCAAGCCCCTGTACTTGGGAGGCTGAGGCTAAAGAACTGCTTAAGCCCAAGAACTTGAAGTTGCTGTGAGCTGTGGAGCTGTGATGCCAAGGCACTCTACTGAGGGCCACAGTGTAAAATCCTGTCTCCAAAAAAAAAAAAAAAAAGAAAGAAAGAAAGAAACCTAAAAGCCATCACGTGCAAAACAATACTGCCATTCCAAAACCTATGGAATGAATTGTGGAAATAAGTCTAGCCCCAAGCTAAAGATCAAGACAAATCAAATAAATCCTTCAGTGGCAGTGAGTAACAGCAACTAATTATGCTTTAATTCTTATGGCCATACCACCCAAAAAATTTAAATCACTGATCCTTGTTCTCTACCCACGTACTCAGACCTGTCACCCATCTAGAAAGATAGTATCGGTAATTAAAAATAAATACAAATATAAACTCTTTAAACATAAAAAGTCTGTTTATCTTCTTGATGGCTATAAAAGAGATTTGGTTTTTATAAAAACTGGCTATCTTCTCTTTAGCAGCAAACAAAATTACAGTTGTCAAACAGAAAGTAGAGATTATGTTTTTACATTGTTTCTAAGTTCCAAACAGGCAAAAACTAAATACAGAAGAAAAATTCCTTTTTTTCTTTTTTTTTGCAGTTTTGGCCTCCCTCAGTTATATGGGGCTAGCGCCATACTCCTTGAGCCACAGGCGCCACCCAGAAGAAAAATTCAGAATTCTTACCTGCATGCAATGAATAGCTAAGCCAGGTCCTGTATACAATTTCTTATGACATATATGGCATTTAAAATGCTTTGCCTTTTGGTGCTGTATAAGGATCTTCTCATCATCAAAATCTCTATTACAATACCTGATCGATATTGTTAAGGCACAAAAATAATGACACTGCCTGCCCTAACCTATAATATAGGGATAAACATAAACAGCTAAAACCAAATTGGCACTTCATTATCTCAGTAAATGGCAATAAACTTCTGTCCAATTCTGTGAAATGAACTTTTTCCTTGTTAAATATCACCACAAATACACATGGAGAACAGTAAAGGATTCCTCTTAAGAAATCCCTAAGTTCACCTCAAGACTATTTCATAAATATACGAGAGGAAAAAAAAAAAGGGAAATATTAGGAATTTATCAACATGTGGAATCCAACTACGTGGTATCTATAACAACACATAATTCGTAATTAACAACCCAAAAATTGTTTCCAATTCCGTATGAATTTATGTTGCCAAGACATGTTATTAAAATTCACAGAAGCTAAAGAAGCTGAGAATTCTTACCGTCCGACTCAGATCATACTAAAAACACATTACAAAATTAATAACGGCTTTTAAACCATTTTTAATCATTACAAATAAATGCAGTTCCCTAACAATCCGTTTTACATACAGAAAATTAAGTCTGGCCCGGCGCCTGTGGCTCAAGCGGCTAAGGCGCCAGCCACATACACCTAAGGTGGCGGG